TCGCGTGCTAATCCCTCTCACGTGCTAGTCCCTCTCGCGTGCTAATCCCTCTCGCGTGCTAATCCCTCTCGCGTGCTAATCCCTCTCGCGTGCTAATCCCTCTCGCGTGCTAATCCCTCTCGCGTGCTAATCCCTCTCGCGTGCTAATCCCTCTCGCGTGCTAATCCCTCTCGCGTGCTAATCCCTCTCGCGTGCTAATCCCTCTCGCGTGCTAATCCCTCTCGCGTGCTAATCCCTCTCGCGTGCTAATCCCTCTCGCGTGCTAGTCCCTCTCGCGTGCTAATCCCTCTCGCGTGCTAATCCCTCTCGCGTGCTAATCCCTCTCGCGTGCTAATCCCTCTCGCGTGCTAATCCCTCTCACGTGCTAGTCCCTCTCGCGTGCTAATCCCTCTCGCGTGCTAATCCCTCTCGCGTGCTAATCCCTCTCGCGTGCTAATCCCTCTCGCGTGCTAATCCCTCTCGCGTGCTAGTCCCTCTCGCGTGCTAATCCCTCTCGCGTGCTAGTCCCTCTCGCGTGCTAATCCCTCTCGCGTGCTAATCCCTCTCGCGTGCTAATCCCTCTCGCGTGCTAATCCCTCTCGCGTGCTAATCCCTCTCGCGTGCTAGTCCCTCTCACGTGCTAATCCCTCTCGCGTGCTAATCCCTCTCGCGTGCTAATCCCTCTCGCGTGCTAATCCCTCTCGTGTGCTAATCCCTCTCGCGTGCTAGTCCCTCTCGCGTGCTAATCCCTCTCGCGTGCTAATCCCTCTCGCGTGCTAATCCCTCTCGCGTGCTAATCCCTCTCGCGTGCTAATCCCTCTCGCGTGCTAATCCCTCTCGCGTGCTAATCCCTCTCGCGTGCTAATCCCTCTCACGTGCTAGTCCCTCTCGCGTGCTAATCCCTCTCGCGTGCTTATCCCTCTCGCGTGCTAATCCCTCTCGCGTGCTAATCCCTCTCACGTGCTAATCCCTCTCACGTGCTAATCCCTCTCACGTGCTAATCCCTCTCACGTGCTAATCCCTCTCGCGTGCTAATCCCTCTCACGTGCTAGTCCCTCTCGCGTGCTAATGCCTCTCGCGTGCTAATCCCTCTCGCGTGCTAATCCCTCTCGCGTGCTAATCCCTCTCACGTGCTAATCCCTCTCACGTGCTAATCCCTCTCACGTGCTAATCCCTCTCACGTGCTAGTCCCTCTCGCGTGCTAATCCCTCTCGCGTGCTAATCCCTCTCGCGTGCTAATCCCTCTCGCGTGCTAATCCCTCTCGCGTGCTAATCCCTCTCGCGTGCTAGTCCCTCTCGCGTGCTAATCCCTCTCGCGTGCTAATCCCTCTCGCGTGCTAATCCCTCTCGCGTGCTAATCCCTCTCGCGTGCTAATCCCTCTCGCGTGCTAATCCCTCTCGCTTGCTAATCCCTCTCGCGTGCTAATCCCTCTCACGTGCTAATCCCTCTCACGTGCTAATCCCTCTCGCGTGCTAATCCCTCTCGCGTGCTAATCCCTCTCGCGTGCTAATCCCTCTCGCGTGCTAATCCCTCTCGCGTGCTAATCCCTCTCGCGTGCTAATCCCTCTCGCGTGCTAATCCCTCTCGCGTGCTAATCCCTCTCGCGTGCTAATCCCTCTCGCGTGCTAATCCCTCTCGCGTGCTAATCCCTCTCGCGTGCTAATCCCTCTCGCGTGCTAATCCCTCTCGCGTGCTAATCCCTCTCGCGTGCTAATCCCTCTCGCGTGCTAATCCCTCTCGCGTGCTAATCCCTCTCGCGTGCTAATCCCTCTCGCGTGCTAATCCCTCTCGCGTGCTAATCCCTCTCGCGTGCTAATCCCTCTCGCGTGCTAATCCCTCTCGCGTGCTAGTCCCTCTCGCGTGCTCATCCCTCTCGCGTGCTCATCCCTCTCGCGTGCTAATCCCTCTCGCGTGCTAATCCCTCTCGCGTGCTAATCCCTCTCAGCGTGCTAATCCCTCTCGCGTGCTAATCCCTCTCGCGTGCTAATCCCTCTCGCGTGCTAATCCCTCTCGCGTGCTAATCCCTCTCGCGTGCTAATCCCTCTCGCGTGCTAATCCCTCTCGCGTGCTAATCCCTCTCGCGTGCTAATCCCTCTCGCGTGCTAGTCCCTCTCGCGTGCTAATCCCTCTCGCGTGCTAATCCCTCTCGCGTGCTAATCCCTCTCGCGTGCTAATCCCTCTCGCGTGCTAGTCCCTCTCACGTGCTAATCCCTCTCGCGTGCTAATCCCTCTCGCGTGCTAATCCCTCTCGCGTGCTAATCCCTCTCGCGTGCTAATCCCTCTCGCGTGCTAGTCCCTCTCGCGTGCTAATCCCTCTCGCGTGCTAATCCCTCTCGCGTGCTAATCCCTCTCGCGTGCTAATCCCTCTCGCGTGCTAATCCCTCTCGCGTGCTAATCCCTCTCACGTGCTAGTCCCTCTCGCGTGCTAATCCCTCTCGCGTGCTAATCCCTCTCGCGTGCTAATCCCTCTCGCGTGCTAATCCCTCTCGCGTGCTAATCCCTCTCGCGTGCTAATCCCTCTCACGTGCTAATCCCTCTCGCGTGCTAATCCCTCTCGCGTGCTAATCCCTCTCGCGTGCTAATCCCTCTCGCGTGCTAATCCCTCTCACGTGCTAGTCCCTCTCGCGTGCTAATCCCTCTCGCGTGCTAATCCCTCTCGCGTGCTAATCCCTCTCGCGTGCTAATCCCTCTCGCGTGCTAATCCCTCTCGCGTGCTAATCCCTCTCACGTACTAATCCCTCTCGCGTGCTAATCCCTCTCGCGTGCTTATCCCTCTCGCGTGCTAATCCCTCTCACGTGCTAGTCCCTCTCGCGTGCTAATCCCTCTCGCGTGCTAATCCCTCTCGCGTGCTAATCCCTCTCGCGTGCTAATCCCTCTCGCGTGCTTATCCCTCTCGCGTGCTAATCCCTCTCGCGTGCTAGTCCCTCTCGCGTGCTAGTCCCTCTCGCGTGCTAATCCCTCTCGCGTGCTAATCCCTCTCGCGTGCTAATCCCTCTCACGTGCTAATCCCTCTCGCGTGCTAATCCCTCTCGCGTGCTAATCCCTCTCGCGTGCTAGTCCCTCTCGCGTGCTAATCCCTCTCGCGTGCTAATCCCTCTCGCGTGCTAATCCCTCTCGCGTGCTAATCCCTCTCGCGTGCTAATCCCTCTCGCGTGCTAATCCCTCTCACGTGCTAATCCCTCTCGCGTGCTAATCCCTCTCGCGTGCTAATCCCTCTCGCGTGCTAATCCCTCTCGCGTGCTAATCCCTCTCACGTGCTAGTCCCTCTCGCGTGCTAATCCCTCTCGCGTGCTAATCCCTCTCGCGTGCTAATCCCTCTCGCGTGCTAATCCCTCTCGCGTGCTAATCCCTCTCGCGTGCTAATCCCTCTCACGTACTAATCCCTCTCGCGTGCTAATCCCTCTCTCGTGCTAATCCCTCTCACGTGCTAATCCCTCTCGCGTGCTAATCCCTCTCACGTGCTAGTCCCTCTCGCGTGCTAATCCCTCTCGCGTGCTAATCCCTCTCGCGTGCTAATCCCTCTCGCGTGCTAATCCCTCTCGCGTGCTAATCCCTCTCGCGTGCTAATCCCTCTCGCGTGCTAGTCCCTCTCGCGTGCTAGTCCCTCTCGCGTGCTAATCCCTCTCGCGTGCTAATCCCTCTCGCGTGCTAATCCCTCTCGCGTGCTAATCCCTCTCGCGTGCTAATCCCTCTCACGTGCTAATCCCTCTCGCGTGCTAGTCCCTCTCGCGTGCTAATCCCTCTCGCGTGCTAATCCCTCTCGCGTGCTAATCCCTCTCGCGTGCTAATCCCTCTCGCGTGCTAATCCCTCTCGCGTGCTAGTCCCTCTCACGTGCTAATCCCTCTCGCGTGCTAATCCCTCTCGCGTGCTAATCCCTCTCACGTGCTAATCCCTCTCGCGTGCTAATCCCTCTCACGTGCTAGTCCCTCTCGCGTGCTAATCCCTCTCGCGTGCTAATCCCTCTCGCGTGCTAATCCCTCTCGCGTGCTAATCCCTCTCACGTGCTAATCCCTCTCGCGTGCTAATCCCTCTCACGTGCTAGTCCCTCTCGCGTGCTAATCCCTCTCGCGTGCTAATCCCTCTCGCATGCTAATCCCTCTCGCGTGCTAATCCCTCTCGCGTGCTAATCCCTCTCGCGTGCTAATCCCTCTCACGTGCTAGTCCCTCTCGCGTGCTAATCCCTCTCGCGTGCTAATCCCTCTCGCGTGCTAATCCCTCTCGCGTGCTAATCCCTCTCGCGTGCTAATCCCTCTCGCGTGCTAATCCCTCTCGCGTGCTAATCCCTCTCGCGTGCTAATCCCTCTCGCGTGCTAATCCCTCTCACGTGCTAATCCCTCTCACGTGCTAGTCCCTCTCACGTGCTAGTCCCTCTCACGTGCTAGTCCCTCTCACGTGCTAGTCCCTCTCACGTGCTAGTCCCTCTCACGTGCTAGTCCCTCTCACGTGCTAGTCCCTCTCACGTGCTAGTCCCTCTCAAGTGCTAGTCCCTCTCACGTGCTAGTCCCTCTCACGTGCTAGTCCCTCTCACGTGCTAGTCCCTCTCACGTGCTAGTCCCTCTCACGTGCTAATCCCTCTCACGTGCTAGTCCCTCTCACGTGCTAGTCCCTCTCACGTGCTAGTCCCTCTCACGTGCTAGTCCCTCTCACGTGCTAGTCCCTCTCACGTGCTAGTCCCTCTCACGTGCTAGTCCCTCTCACGTGCTAGTCCCTCTCACGTGCTAGTCCCTCTCACGTGCTAGTCCCTCTCACGTGCTAGTCCTTCTCACGTGCTAGTCCCTCTCACGTGCTAGTCCCTCTCACGTGCTAATCCCTCTCACGTGCTAGTCCCTCTCACGTGCTAGTCCCTCTCACGTGCTAGTCCCTCTCACGTGCTAGTCCCTCTCACGTGCTAGTCCCTCTCACGTGCTAGTCCCTCTCACGTGCTAGTCCCTCTCACGTACTAGTCCCTCATGCGGCACCAACATGCCACTTGTACTTAAACTTATGCAACTTAGCACACACTTGCCACGTCAGCGCACCTCAGCAGCAGTGGCAGTGTCGTCCACGTGGAACTCCAGCAGCACGTCGTTCTTCCCTGACAGCTGTGTCTGTGACACGTCAGCAATGGAGATCTCGAAGGCCTGCTTGCCACCCACCTGGAATCCCAGCATCGTGCCTGCATGGGTGTGAGTGGGTGTGTGCATGCACATGTGCATATCCGTAACGGAGAAGAGAGCCCCCCCTAGGTTCAAACCCCCTCCGTGGGTCGTCACTGCTTCCCTATTATTTACTCCTCTCACTGGGTAGGGGGATATACGGACATGGATGCATGCGCAGAGCATGGGAAACAGTACAACAGTAGCACATCAAACAGCAAATGACACATGGCACACAGCACATGGCTCGAGGGCACAAGCAACAAGTTGACATGGTGGCAGCACAGGGTGGAACGAGAGCAGCAGAGGGCGCGGCAGCGGGAACCAAGCGCCTCTCAAGACTATCTTGCATCGCCTAACCGCACCAGCCTCGCCCACCCGTACACCCACGCCACTCCCACCTTCCCCCTGCTCTCCCACCCTCCACCCCCTTTCCCCCAACCCCTTTCCCGCACAGCACCGCGCCCTGCGGTGCACTTCGATGCAGTGCGGTGCGGTGGTGGTGGGTACCTTCGATCTCGGCGTCGCCCCAGTTGCGGCCGCTGGTGGCGAGCTCGCTCTTGCGCGGCGCGAAGCCAAGCGTGGAGGTGAGGAAGGGCGAGAGCGAGTCCACGTCCGCCTTGGTGAAGCCGTTGAACTTCACCTTGCCGCCCGCCTTGAGCCGCACGCACAGCTGGTACCCGCGCGGCACGCGCATCCACACCACGCCCGCCATGTCCGTGCGCTGCACGTCCACCTGCTTCCCCCCGCCCAGCTTCCGCCACGCCAGCCCGCCCGTGTGCACGCGCAGCTGCCCCGGGGTCTGCGCAGGACGAGGGATTCGCGAAGGCATGCGGAATTCGCGAAGGCACGAGAGATTCGCGAAGGCACAAAAGCTTCGCGAAGGCATGAGTACTTCGCGAACTCACGAGGAATTCGCAGAGGCACAAAAATCTCGCAAAAGGGCGAGAAGCGAGGAGCAGCTGAGGGAGGGAGACGAGGAAGGCGAGCGTTGGGCTGGAACGGAAAGAATCAGCGCAACGAGCGGGCGGAGGAAGACTTGCCAGAGCGCCGCGGCCGCCGAGGAGGATGTTGTTGAACTGATGCACCGCCACGTCAGCCATGGCGGCGCTCCGAGCGCCGCTGCGGATGTGTTAGGGCTGGTTCGCCCAACCACGGAACCTACAACGAAAGCTTCTACGACGGCGGAATGAAGGTGAAGGAATAGTGTGGACTATTCTTGAGTGAAGCGGTGGACATCAGCATACGGCGTGAGAACTGAGAGAGAAATCGAGAAGGAATGTGCGAGAAAGAGGAAGAAGCGTGAATTCGGGCCTGAGGCGTGTTCGATAAATTTCCAGATTCAGGCTCAAGAAGTGTTCGGTGAATTCGGTTCGGTTTCGTGTATAACTCAGGGTGAAACGAGGCGCGCGCTAGATTGCTTGGGAGACAAATTACGTTACGAAGCGCATTTTGTACCTTGGTTGACTATAAAACTGCTTGTACTCATTCTGGAAAATATAACATTTAGATAACATTGAGATTCTGAAAATTGCTGAAGTGTGTATTGACAACTTCAAGCTGAGCGCATATCATTGGAATCGGGTGATCGTGGAGAACACGATAGGCGATACCAAGTAGACTATTGCCGACCTAGTGTTAGAATAAGCTGGTAGGAATGGTGGACTATGTAGCATGCATGAGTACAAGTACCGTACCTAACCCTAAAGTGTTGTACCCCTTGTAGGCTAACCCACTATAGCCAAGAGAGAACACAAACATACAGTTTGACACATCCCCATAGGCTAAGTGGGAGATAGCAAACACAATAGACGGTCACAATGCCAGTCAAGCAAGAGAACAAGCAAACCAAAGCAATGCTCAGGATGGATCTCAAGGACACCACACAATCTGAGCACAAGCAAGCAGCCACAAGGCCAGTTCACATGCAGAGTTATAATACTAAAGCAGTACACTGATCACAACCTAGCAAGAGTAAACAAGTAGATATAAATAAATATATAAGTATATATATCTATATATCAGTGTACAGCAAGAGCAAGTCAAGCAACCATCAGGTGAGGCAGAGTGGGCACAAGCCCAAGAGCAGTGCAGAAACGCTGATGATCACCAGACCCAAGGGCCTTGGTGAAGACATCAGCAGTGTTGGCCCGAAAGGCCACGTAAGCAAGGCGCAGCTGACCACGCTGTTGCAGCTCACGCGCAAGGAAGTAGCGAAGAGCAATGTGCTTCGTTCTGTGCTCCAGTCTCTGCTCGCGACACAAGGCAAGCATTGCCTTGTCGTCGACGTACAGAACTGGAGGAGAAAGAGGTCGCTCCCCCAAGTCGGTCAGCAGGTAGGTCAGTCAGCGTAGCTCCTGTGCAGCCATGGCCCCAGCATAGATCTCGGCCTCACAGCTGAAACCAAGCACAGAAGAAGAACGAATGGACCTTCACGAGACAGAACCTGAGCCAAGACTGAAGGTGTAACCCTATGACGAACGCTGAGTCGCCTGGTCGTCGGCCCAAGAAGCGTTAGAGTGTCCTGTAAGTACCACTGAACTCCGTCCTCCAAGCACAAGCTCCAAGTAACGCAGTACCCTCTTCGCAGCATCAAAGTGCACCTTTTGGTGTCTACCGGGTGCCACGTAGCGAGCCAGGAGGCTGAGAGGGTACGCATGCACGTCATCAGGTACACGAGGCAACCGACAAGCTCTAGGTACGGACCACTCGGCTCTACGGACTCCTCCGAAGGTGGAGCTGAGAGCGATTGGCCGGTAGACAGAGGAGTGGGCTGTGGCGAGGACCACGTGAAGCAGAAGCGCTGGAGGACCTGGTGCACCATGTGTGACTGAGTTAGGGTGATGGTGCGCCATGCTCTGTCCCGGGTGATCTGCAAGCCAAGATAGCTCCGCAGCTCACCCAGGTCAGTGCGGGTGTGTCTCTAGGGCCAGTGCCTCAGTGTCAGCAATAGCAAAAACCATGTCGTCGTTGTACACGAGGATGTAGAACGCCAGCAAAGTAGTCTCGTTGCGTAGAAACAGCGACGGGTCAGCAGTCGAAGGGGCAAACCCAAGAGCCGCAAGTGTCGTTCTCAGTGTGTCGTGCCTGACGCAGGCCATACACTGGTCGCCGTAGGCTCCACTCGGAACCCTCAGGAAACGACCCAGTGAAGCCCTCTGGATGGCGCAACCAGATAGCCTTATGAAGGCTACCCTGCAAGAAAGCTGTCGAGAAGTCGAGGGAGTGCAGCTCGTAGTCACGCTGAGCTACAACGTGTAGTAACACCCGAAGAGTGGTCATCTTCGGGGCGGGGGAGAAGGTCTGAAAGAAGTCGACCCCCACACGCTGACTGAAGCCTCGAGCAACGTAACGTGCCTTCTAGGCAGGCGGAGAGCCCGGCGGCCGCTTCACCCTGAAAATCCACATGCCAATGACGATGTTCGGCCCAGATGGGGGAACCTCGTCGACGTAGGTGCCTGTGGACTTCCAGGAAGCCATCTCTGCGTCTATGGGTGTTTGCCACTAAGAGGAGTACTTACCCAAAATCGCCTCTCTGAAAGAGCGCGGGGAGGAGATGTCAAGTGCATCCGGGTCTCCCTCAGGAGCAAGCAGCATGGTTGCAAGATGGGGTGCAGCGGCCGCAAGGCACTCGAGCTCTTCCTCTCTGTTCTCAAGTACGTCACAGCCAAGGGCAATACAGCCAAAGGCAGTCTCACCCCCGACGGACGGAGGACAGGCAGGGACAGGATCAAAGACAAGACTCGCAAGGTAGTCTAGGCGGTACACAGCAACAAAGTCAACGAGCTCAGCGACTAAGGCAGACGCAGCAGGAGACGGGAACGAAGGGCCACTCACCACCGTAGCAAGAAAGCGAGTAACAGTCGGACTGGATGCACGAGCAAGGTCAGACGAAGAGTCAGCAACATTAGGAAGAGAGGACGCAGGAGGTTACGGCAAGACAACACGCTATGGAACAGAGGAAGGACAGAGTGTCATATCGTGAGTGCCTGGGACAGCCGGAGAACGCTGACGACGAACACGAGGAACACTAGCACGGACAGCAGCTCTAGGCTCGGGCTCAAGGTCAAAGCGGGACTCAGGCTCTCAACGCTCAGGGGTGGAAGCACGAGTCTCAGGCTCTCGACGCTCAGTCAGGGACTGTGTCACCGCAGTGTAGGGAGCAGCAGCAGGCAGTGGGGAGTGCGGTAGCAGCTGCGGCTGTGACTGGTCTACCGGTGGAAACAGTAACGGAGGAGTAGTACCTGCCACAGGGAAGTTAGTAGCACCTAGCGGAAGACTGAGAAGGTGGCGAAGAGCACCAGCAGGTCCCGTACCTCCAGCACGAGCAGCTCCACCAGTACTCCCAGCAGCACCTCCAGTACGAGTAGCACCAGCACCTCCAGCACCTCCAGCACCAACAGCACCACAAGCTCCGGCAGCGCCAGCACCTCTAGCACCAGCAGTACCTCCAGCACCTCCAGTGCCAGCAGCTCCAGTAGCACCTCTAGCACCAGCAGTACCTCCAGCACCTCCAGTGCCTCCAGCTCCAACTCCAGCGCCTCCAGCACTAGTAGTACCTCCAGTAACTACGGTGCAAGCAGCTCCAGTACCACCTCCAGCACCTCCAGCACCAGCAGCACCACTTGCTCCGGCAGCTCCAGCACCTCCAGTACGAGCACCTCCGGGACTAGTAGCTCCAGCACCTCCACCACCAGCAGCACCAGCACCTCTAGGGTCAGCAGCTCCCGCAGCTCCAGCACCAGTAGCACCAGCACCTCCAGTGCCAGCAGCTCCAGCACCCCCAGCACCTCCAGTAACAGCAGTACCCCCAGCACCAGCAGCTCCAGTACCTCCAGCTCCAATACCTCCAGCATTGGCAACACCTCCAGTACTAGCAGCTCCAAAACCTCCAGCACCAGTAGCAGCTCCAGTACCTCCAGGCCTAGCAGCTCCAGTACCTCCAGCACCAGTAGCACCTCTAGTACCTCCAGCAGTACCTCCAGGCCTAGCAGCTCCAGTACCTCCAGCACCAGCAGCACCTCTAGTACCTCCAGTAGTACCTCCAACACCTCCAGCACCAGCAGCACCTCCAGGACTAGTAGCTCCAGCACCAGCAGGACCGTACCCTCCACCACCAGGACTTCCTTGCCGAACGACCCACGCACGAATCGCCTGCGGCGAGCGTCTCAAGTAGAGCAGGCTGCGGTGGCTGTCCAGCTCCAGTACCTCCAGTAGTGGTAGCGCTAGCACCTCCAGCACCAGAAGCACCTCTAGTACCTCCAGCTCCAGCACCTCCAGCACCAGCAATAGCTCCAGTACCTCCAGCACCAGTAGCACCTCCAGGACCTCCACGCCTAGCAGCTCCAGTACCCCCAGCACCAGTAGTACCTCTAGTACCTCCAGCAGTACCTCCAGGCCTAGTAGCTCCAACACCTCCAGCTCCAGGACCTCCAACAGGATCACCCACAACTCCACTACCACTAGGACTCGCAGCGCCCACAGAGTCAGCAACCCCAATCGCACCACCCCCAGAACCAGCACCGCCAGGTACAGCACCTTCACAGCCCTCACCCCCTGGCTCAGCACCTGTAGTCTCAGCACCAGAGTCCACAGTAGCAGGCTGCAGAGGCGGCAAAGACGGTCGAGGCGTAAAACCCGGGCGGGTCTCCAAGCGTGGAGAGCGGCGAGTGGCCGCCGTGTCGTCCGCAATTGAGTCACCCCCCTCACGTGGGCCAGAGGAGTCAGAAGAAATCACCTGTGGCTCATCCAAGGGGGGTGGGTTGACCTGAGACACACCTAAGCGAGCATGACCCTGTGTGGGACGCGTGCGGGTGTAACTGGTAGTAACAG